CAATATATAATGAGTCTCTTGTCTTAAGATGAGAATTAAAGTTTTACTGTCAATTTAGGAGTTTATAGAAAAAACTGCTTTAATAACTTTATTCTTTAGCCAAATCCTCCTAACTTTGGTTTTCATGCAGGTGTTGTTACACTGATGTTAAGTATTGAGGATCATCTGCTTTTTTTCCTCTGTTTATATGAAGCGTTAGCTTAGCTGTAATGGTGTTCAGACATTTTCAGGCAACATATTTTAAGCTTTGTTTAAATTTCCAAATTAAGGGGGGGATCTTGTTGCTCTGCAAAACAGCAGCTTCAGTTGCAGCATGATTCACATCTGTATCATTTTCTCGGCGGTTGCTCAACGAAAGCGAGACAGCTGCTAGTATTTAATAACCGCATAGTGCATCAGATGTGGCGATCCAAATAATACTTCATAAAAGAACTCGAATGTGCATGGATATAAAAGCAGAGGGAAAAGGAGACTTGGCCACGCCTGGCGATCCCTTAAATTTAATTAAGGGATCTGACGAGGGAGAGTGTGACAAGAGCGGTCTCTGTGCTGCTGATTGAGGGATCACCACACTCTCATTAATTGCTCAATCAGCCAAAGGAATGTGATCTGTGCTAATTAGGAGGACTCTCCTTCCATCATGGGGCTGCGGTGTAATTACAATCAGTCTGGGCCTGACGACACACACTGAGCAGTACCACTCTCTGTCCTGTGAGCCTCCTGTTCAGAGCAGGAGCATTTGGCTGCAGTTGCATAATAATATAATGACTGCATTTACTTTGATTATGAAAATAATTAAACTGTTTGCTTTGTTAGTGTTCACACTTCATGCGAGCTTGGATTCTCTAATTAGTGCCCGAGTTTGGTCTTTTTTTTAGTTTTTAGGTAGCCATTTGGGGTACATTGTGTCTGAGCGACTAATTTTTATTTCAGCTAATTAAAGTTCTCTGTTAATCAACGCATTAGTCACATTATTCCAAATATTCAGATCACTGGTGGGTCTGTAAGCGTACAGTCACTGATGACGATTGATCCTCTCATGAATGCAGTGTTACAATTCTGCCAACTAAAGTGTGGCGTTGAGTCTTTTTTTTTTAGTTTCAGCACAGACACCTCTGTTCTGAAATATCACTGTGTGGTGTATTGAGTATTAGGTGACTTAACAGCTTTTATCAGCAACAGAGGAACTGCAAAAGGGGATCCATGATGTAGGTGCAGACATAAATAATAGAAACGCATTAGCTGGAAGAAGGTGGCGACAGTACCGCGGCTGGAGCAGAAAGCTGACAGAATGATGCAGAGAGGTAGCCATGCGTGGTAACACTGCTGTGTCAGTATGCTTGGCTTTCCTTTTTAAGTTTCATGCATTGCACAGCTTATAACTAAACTTAACTTTGGGTTGGATTTTGCTGAAAGAGGTGCTCGATGGAAATGAAAGCAGCAGTGGGGGGAAATGACTCCGCTGTGCATTTGTAGTTTGAACAGGATGTCGTACTTTCATGGGGTCGTTTTTAAAAGTAGTTCAAAAGCGGTGAATATGAGAGATGCACTCGCTGTCCATCTTCTATAGTTACACTTTGCTTGTACTGGGTTAGAGCACAGTTTTGCCTTTTTAATGGCATCAAGAAGGTGCTTTAAACATTCCTCATGTTTTGGTCGATGCTGACATGAATGCAGTACAGTTGCTAACAATCTCCTGTTCAGTTGCATGCAAAAACGGGTTTGGTGACACTGGAGGCCATTTGAGTGCAGTGAAGTCACCGTCATGTTTAAGAAATCAGTCTGAGACAGATTTGAGCTCTTTCACGTGCAGGAATACCGTACTGTAAGCGGTCATCAAGAGATCGGTGCACCGTGGTCATAAAAGGATGGACATTCAGTAAAAATACGATATGATGGGGTCTTTAAATGATACACAGTTGGTACTAAGTGTGCCAAGAAAATATTCCCTGCACCATTACACTGCCAGCACCCCTGAAGCATTGATACAAGGTAGGATTTGTCTATGCTCTCGTGTTTAAACCATATGCTGCCCTTCCATGTGAGTGTTGCAGCAAAAATCGACTCATGAGACCAAACAACATCCAGTCTTCTGTTGTCCTCGGTGTGGTCTTCCGCTGCTGTAGCCCATCTGCTCCAAGTTGTGACGGGTTGTGCATTCAGAGATGCTCTTCTGCACAGCTTGGTTGCAACAAGTGGTGATTTGACTTCCTGTTGCCTTCCTATAATCTCAAATCAAGTTTGGTTATTCCCCTCTGACATCAACAAGGCATTTTCACTCAGAGAACTGCTGCTCACTCAGTATTTTGTCCTTTAGACCATTCTCTGTAAACCCCAAATGGTGACCATCTCAGTAAATCACCAGTTTCTGAAATGCTCAACCTTGAAAATCATTTAAATCACCTTTCTCCCTCACTCTGCTCAGTTTGAGCATGATGACGTGTCAAACTACACCGAGCTACCATCATGCATTTGGCTGATTAGAAATTATTTTTTGCATTAATGAGCAGATGTACCTAATAAAGTGGCCGTGAGTATATCTAAACTGTTCTTGATTTTAAAAAATGTGGGCAAAAGCTAACTTTCCAGTGAGAATGAATTACGATTAGAGAGTCTGCCATTCCTCTCAGCAGTCCAACCATGTGGAACAAAATCAAAGGCTTCACTGCTCCTTTCAGGATGGTCTGTGGGGACACTGGTGATCCCTGACCTTTTAATAATGTCACTTTTTTTTAATGTGGCCAATATTTCATTTAATGGATAATATCGCCTGGACTGTTTGTTTTTGTGGCATTTAGCAAACAGCATAATGCTAATATGATAAATATGGTTGATACTGTAAACACGATAAAGCTTCTTAAAGTCGGCTCGCTGACATTAGCGTTTGGCTCAAAACTGAGTTGTTGAGATGGCTACAGACTTTTATTCTTGTTTTCCGATTTACTGGCACAGCATGATGTACCTCAGTGTTTGCCAGACTGTGTGACCTGTGAGCGTATTGTTAAATTGTTGTGGTTGCCTGATGTGAAAGCAAAGCAGGCAGTAAAGGCTGTTGGTGGGGAGAGAGGGAAGAGAACATGTTTAATAGATTTTTTTTAAATAGATATGGGTGTCCTTGTGGCTAAGTGCTTGGTAGGGATGTTGAAATTAAGAAACTGAATAACACATCCTGGTTTTCTGCCATTTCTTCTCTTTTTGTGGGATTTTATGAGTTGAAACTGCTCCATTTCAGGCTGCAAGATGGTCGAAACGGTAATGTAACAATCCATGCTGAGGACCAAAGCTGTGCTATTCTCTTGTGAGAGCAGCAGTGGGTGAGGTGAAGTGGCAGGCAGGAGATCAGATGGCTCTGTCCTCCACATAGATCCCTGAGCCCTCGCCAGCCCTCTGATGCAGCTGCTCCTCTGCTCTCCATTTGCCGCCTCCCCTCCCGTAACCTCCCACTCAATTCCCAGTTGAAAACCTGCATTCACATACAGTCTGACTGTACTATAAAATTTATGGTCACCGTTCGACTTTTTTTTTCTTTTCTTTTCATTTGCCTTGGAAGATGTCACATGCTTCGTGCTATGCTTGTTGAAGTCCCACCTTAAGACCCGTGAGTTACCTCGACGAGCTTTCTCGCCCTGGTTCCTGAGGCTCGGGTAACGGTCATCGGTGCACTCGCTACAGGCGCTGACAAATCGGGAACATCGGCAATATGCAAGTTGAAAGAGCCTTACAGCAATTTGCCCGGGTCTCATCTGGTGTGAGTTTAACTTCAGAAACATCTGCTCTGAGAATGAATAAATGGTGAGCTGCAGAGGTGTGTGAGCTTATTCACCTTGCTCTCAAGAAAAGACGTTTGGGCCTCGTCCACTAATATTTGCACTAAAATGTTTTTACCCTGCGCAAAAAAAGTTTGTGCGAAGCATTACTGTTGGCAACATGAAACGTGCTATCTGCATACTGCCACAACTTTATTTTCCTATGTAAGGGAACATGTTTCTGTGTGGGGGATGAGAAAGAGTCTGACAGAAGACACTAACACAGTGGGGTCTGAAGAGCAAACCAGTGTTTCCCATTAAAAATGAATAAAAACATAAAAATTCTCCAGCATTACTATTATAGTCCCAAAAAAATCATCTCCAAGCGATGATGCCCGGGACTGATAGATGAGAGGAATATTGGTAAATGTTTACACAGTTCATCAGTTGGTGCCCATACTCTGAATTTGACAATACGAATTAATTCGGTTACTGAAATATTGATGGGTCACTAGTTTGAAAACTTTACCATGAATACTTTGATGTGTGCGTACGGTCCGACGTCTGCGAGTTACTCAAACCTGTACTTGAGCTGAACTTGAGCACTGATGGTGTCTCCACACTCTGCGCTGACAGCAAGGTGAAAGGTTTCGGTCCTCTTCAGCTCAGGAGTCGTTGATTTCCAAGATATTTCATAACAGGACTGTTTTTTCACTTCATGCCCAGAGAAGGGTTACCCTGCAACTTCTGAACACTGAGCTCCTTCACACTAGATTTCATGTGACTGCATGAATTTCATGAGCTGCAGTGACCGTTTCAACCTCTCTAGCTTTTAAGCACCAACTAGGGAAGCTTCTCACAACCGATCTGTGTCTTATCTCTTAAAGATACAAAGAAAGCCAGCATTTAATTGATTCTGGGGAAAAACGAATCATCTGGTTTAAATTGTGTAATACGATGTTATTCACTATTTTCTAGGGGTCCTTTATGCTGCTTTGCAGCTAAAGTGCAGAGATCAGAAATGAGATGCAGCTATGGCCCCAGGATGAGTTTGAACTTTGAAGCCATGACTACTGAACTTTAGTAAGAGAACACTGGAAGCAACTTTAACAACATGAACATTGATTGAAAATCTGAAATGCAGGACTGCGTGTTTCTGGTAGCGCCCCCAAAAAACGGCCTTGAAACATCATCACACAGTTGAAAGAATAAATCTGAAATGTCTGATCAAAAAATTTCTTATGAATATTTCAGGTATCCAAAGCCGCCGCAGACCTGATGGCATACTGCGAGGCGCACATACGCGAGGACCCCCTCATCGTGCCCGTGCCCGCCTCCGAGAACCCCTTCCGGGAGAAGAAGTTCTTCTGCACCATCCTCTGATGAGCTGCTGGTAGAGCTGTGCAGGCATGGCGTTGCCTGGCTTCTCTGTCTTCACCACACCTGAAGCTACTGGCCATAGGCATTGAGCTGAGTTTTGCCAAGGCGGGGACACTCTGTTGTTGGTCAGCTCTGCCCCTGGTGGCTGAAGGTTTTGGGGGAGTCAGCTACCAAACTGGCAACCCAGTGGGCGTATAATGTCTTGTTAAATAGGTTTGTTATTGCTTTGTTATTAGAGAAACAGCCTTGCTTAGTGCTCAAAGAGATGAGAGATGTTTTGGTTTTTTCTTTTTCTGTGCTAGATTTGAACTTGCCTCAGGAAACAACTTTGCCCAGTGTTTGACTTTTTTTTTTAAAAAACATTTATTTCCCCTTTTTCTTTCTGAATAAAAATGTGTAGGTCTTTGTATAAACTCAATCATGACTTGTGTTAGTGTTTTTTTTTGTTTTTTTTTTCTTTTTTAAATGGCTCTCAATGCACAGATGTAACTATTAGTAGCAACACTTAAAGCACCACTAAAAATTCGACGACTTCCCTCAGCAGTGGTTTCAGTTTCAGCATCGACAATTAACCCACTCGCTTTAGCACAATCTGATTCAGATTAAAGCCCAGAAACGGAAACCGTATCTCACAGTGAATAATTTCCGCTGCACTCTCAGTAAGAATGAGGCGGCCGCACGTCGCGTTCTGCTGCAAAGAAATGAGTGGACTGTTTTTTGAAAGGTGCAGAGCTAATGTTTCAACAGCCAGATGAGTTCTTCGGGGTTATCACTGTGCAAACAAGCCCTTAAGTCAAGAATTATTTATGAATCTGCCACCTTCTGCCCACTCTAATGCATTCTAACTTTGCTTCTCGGTTTGATTTGCTCTTTTCTTTCGAATCTGAAAAAGCATCAGTTAATCCTGCAGCTCTCTGCAGGAATAGATATAAAATAGCATTATTATTTTATTTTTTTGCAGGACATCTTGTTCCCTTCAGCAGTCTCGCTTAATTTCTGGGCATGTTTCCTGAGCCTGATTCTTTTCCTCCTTTTCTTCTTCCTTTTTGCCTGTCCTAGAGTGAATGGCGAGGCCTTTGACATTAATACCAAACTGGAGGCCTGCATGTTTCTCTGCTCCTTTTTGACAGCCTCCTCTGTTTCCGAGGGACCGTCAGTCTCTTCGAGTGTACAGTATGTTACGGTGCCAACTTCTGTGGGAGTGGTGTGATCTTCACACTGTGCTTCCCGGAGCCTTTTCTTTTTCTGTTCTGGGTTTTTTCTCTTTTGGAAGGAAAAAAAGCACACTGTCGAAACATTTCCTTTACATGGTAGTTGAATAGCATTTGCTGATTTTTATGATGACTTGTTCTGATCGTTATTAATATTGTTATCAGTAGTATTAACGAATATCTGTTGCACAGCACTGACAGCTACATGACGTGCAGTGCTCCTAAGCCTGTATGATACGTAGAGAAAAAGAACGTTTATAAATCATGCAATTATTGATACTATCGTGAGTATTTTTTAAAAACCGCGCTGAGGGTCGTTTACATAATGGGGTCCCTTTTTTCTTCTTTTATTTGGAGGTTCAGGCTTTTTGCATCAAGGTTTCTATCATCGAAGGGGAGGGTGAGTGGGGACTTCCTTTTTGGTACTTGAATAGCCATTGCATTAGGAATCAGTCTCTGATACTGGACCGTAACAAACGCAGACTCAATTGTCTTCAGGATAATTATCGTCTTTATTTCCTATCTGAAAACCTGAGCTGACCTCGGGACACTCTCGCTGACCTCATCTCAAGGATGGTGCCAAAATCTGAAAAGAAATACGACGGCTAGAGATGAATATTGCATGAATTTATTTCTATTTATAACAGAGAACTATTATGATATGAAATATTGCCTGTTCATTGACTTTTCTGGGTGCTACTCTGCACATAATAATCTCCCTGGAGTCCGGATATGTCAACAACGTGCAGCTGTATTCATGAATGGTATTATTGTTTTGGGGGCGGGGGGGAATAAATAGCATTTACATAGGAGACTTTGTAAAAATCCTTTGACGGATCAAATGAATTAAAAGAAAACGGCAACCCACAGTGTGCTGTGTCTTCAGTATTTTTCTCTCTTTCTGGCATCTGTCTGATCACACCGACAACATGCTGCAAATCGTTCTGGGTCTCGCAGAGGAACATCGTGTTTCGGTGTGTATTGGAGACCTCCTGTGGCTGAGCTGAACCATGGGCCATCTGGATGCACTCTTGTGTTTTTTTTTTAAAAAAAGAAAAGGATTACGATTCAGTTCAGCCTTGGCCAGTTTGCCTTCTATTCTGCAAATCTAAAGCGGGAGGGCATTACATGTGCTGGGTGACAGCACAGTTTGCACGAAGAACGGCCTCGATTTTTATGATTCGAGGTATCAGCGGCTGACATCAGCATTCACGTTGTCTGCTGTTGCTCCTTCATGTCTCCATCCATGCATCCATTTACATCCTCACCGGGGGAATAGGCCAAAATTACAACTTTCCACCTAATTTAGTTGATAGTGGTTATTTTATTTTTAGCCACTTTTCACTGCACTTCATGGTCTGATGATCGGGTCAGAGGCAGAATTGGTCTTTTTTTTTTTTTTTTTTTTTTTTTTTGTTTGACAAACAAGGAAATCAACTCTTGCGTGTTGATATTATGAGAGACAGCACTTATGATTTAATGCACAGCACTGACAGTTTTGATGAATGACACTGAGAAGGTGAATACTGGTATCTCTTATTGATTTTTTTTTTTTTTTTTTCTTCGCCCGGTTGATCCCAAAGGGCTAGGATGTAATTAAGAAGCAGTCAGTGTTATAGTTTTTCTTTTCTTTCTGTTTTTTTAAGGCTTGGGACCAGCTGTGCTGTGGATTATCTACATTTATTTCACATTTAAACCCCAGTGAGAGGCAAAGTTTCTCAGTCAGCATCTTACAGTGAATGATGGGCTCCTCCATGAATACGTTTCTAAAGTTGAAACGCTTTTGTTTTTCCACAATCTGGATAATCTTGATCTCTGTCAATCTACACCTTAAATCTCTTGGCAATTATATTGCTTAAATTTAGTTGTTGGTCATGGCTACATCAAAGTTAAGAAAAATCCTTTTGCTTGTGGAAACGATATGCGCTCTTGAGAAGACAAATGGTGTACCCAAAAAAACCCCCCTAAAATTAGGTCCCTGCATCATTGCAGGCACATTGTTCCCATGTGGGACCTGACTGGATAAAAAGAAACCTTTATAGATGTGGAGGAAAAGTACAGTGATTCCTGAGTGGGAAAAGATGAGAAACACAAGTTGGAATAGTATAAATAGAGTATGAACTTCACATATAAATAAAAAGTGAAATGTGAGAGACAAACAGCAGACTCTGATAGATGAGGGCTGGAGAAGCCACAGCATTGCGGGATGTTTGGATGGGTTTCAAGGACCCCTGAACATGCTATGAATAGCCTTTTCCTTTCAAATGAATAATGTGTTGCGGGGAGAGAACTAAATCATCCTAATGAGTAGATCTATGAATACGAGTCCAAAAAGAATTATATAATGCACAGGAAAGTAATTATCCCTGGGGCAGTGGGTTATCTAATATTGGGTATCTGCACTGGAGCAATTTTCCAAATTGAGCTGTGAGGCCCCCAAAGTCTACCAGAATAGTAATAATTCCTGTAAGATTATTCATCTACAGGCACAGCATGGTGTTCTGCAGCAGCTTCTCAATGAATTCTGCTCAGAGCACTGACATGCAGCACATTGCAGTGTTTCCCCGTCACATTATTTTTTCACTCCGAGGGGCGGTAAGGTCTCTGAAATGGCATTTGTGAAACGCTGGAATTCCATTAAAATCAATACAAATAAAATGTTTACAAGCACTATAGAGGGCTTGTTTTTTTCTTCTTCAGTGGGGTGATCCATTCCTCCTTCTCCGGGAAAACACTGGTGCTCTCAGAGTCAAAAGAAATCCTCCTCAAGCGTTCGTCTCCATGCACAAAAGATTCCATTTAAATGATTTATGTGCAGCACAGGGGAACAGCTTTTGATAAAGTTGCGCTCTTAATGCTAGAACACATCACCTGGGTTTAGAGAGGATGAAATGATTCATATGTTAATTTTTGTCTTTGCTTACAGTGTTTTCCTCACTTTACTGTGTGGAGTAAAGGAAAACAAACCTACCAAACTGACATGTCTTTATGTGATAATCATGGGATGGGACGCACCTTTAGTATTTTAGCGTTTCATTTGTTTTAGGGACATGGGATAAAATATTTAGTGAACATACTTAAATTAACATACTCTTGACTTTAATATGATTTGAGTGGAAAATAAAACAGCACGAGGCTGATTTATTTTTAATGGAGACACATTAAATGCTAGAAAGTGTTGCCTGCTGTTGTCAACACATTTATCTTTGTACACAGTATGATAGAGGAAAGGGAACCGGACCACTGTATCACATAAAAACTTTTTTTTTTTGGCCCTAAATATCCAGTATTTGTCACTCTAATTTGCATCTTTTTTTCCATGCTAGTCTAGCTAAGTAAATGTACTAGATACATGTACTTTATAGTTTTATTCCACTAGCTAGAGTTTTAAAAAGTAATGTAATACTTAATATTTTTTAAATACTATTACTATTAATCCTACAAATAATAATATTGATAATAATGAAGCTATGTAAAAATAATAAAAGTAATTTTATTAAGCTGAGAAAGGACCAGAACATACATTTGTATGATTTATTATTTTTATTATTAACCTAGAGAACTACTATATCAAGTTTAAGGCTCGTTCGATTGGCTACAGGGTTGAACTTCACCTCCCAGAGTGCACCGCGGTAGGGCTCCTCGTCTCCCATTGGTCTCGCTCATCGAGCAGCGGAGGCAGACATGAGGCAGTGGTGAGAGCCCGGCGGAGAGCTGCGGAGCTGAAATGAAGCGCACACACGGAGCAGCTCACACCGCGCAGCACCGTGCGGCTCGAGGAAGGTAGGCAGGCTCCGCGCCGCTAAAGCTGAAGGCTGCTCCGGCTGAATGAAGGGCTCCGTCCATGCGGAGGCTAGCGCTCTTTCTGCTTCCCTGTGCTGTCGCCGTCCTGGTGCACTTGTGGTTGGCACAACGACCCTCCTCCGCCCCGCTGGACAACAACACATACTCGGGTACTTTTTTAGCCACTACCCCGGGCTTTTACCTCCTCAGCTTCGCAACTTTTTTTCCTTTCGAGCGGCTGGTTAACTTTGCCTTTACCGCCCCGGTGTGGTAGTTTGCTAGTTAGTGTGTGTGTGGACAGGTAGTTAACGGCAGTGACTGTAATGAGTGTTTTCTAATGTGTGTTTTACGGAGGAAA